TTCGAACCAAACTCGCCAAGTCAGGTGATTTCAGCAAACAAGGCTACTGTTTCGAAACTGTTCAAATTCCGATGGTTCACAGTTAGAGGGTTCTTATTGGTTTGTAAAAGGTGTCTTTTGGGTTGAGCTCTTGTTGCATTTACACCATTTTGAGCAGCAGGTAATGTCAGCTTGCGGTTTTTCAAGCGCTTCGAAACAGTGAATCATTTTGCGAAGCAATTGGTTCAGTTGATTCAGAATTTTGAAAAGCTTAAAGGGATAGTTCACCCAAAAATGAAAATTCTGTCATTAATTACTCACCCTCATGTCGTTTCAAACCCCTAAGACCTTCGTTCATCTTCGGAACACAAATTAAGATATTTTTGATGGAATCTGAGAGCTGTCTGACCCTGCATAGACAGCAATACAACTGAAATGTTCCCAAGTCCAGAGACGTAGCAAGGAGATCGGTAAAATAATCCTTTATTGTTGAATAAAGTCGTTATTTTTTTTTCTTTTACACACAAAAAGTATTCTCGTAGCTTCGTAAAATTATGGTTGAACCCCTGATGTCACATGGATTATTTTACCGATCTCCTTGCTACGTCTCTGGACTTGGGAACATTTCAGTTGTATTGCTGTCTATGCAGGGTCAGACAGCTCTCAGATTCCATCAAAAATATCTTAATTTGTGTTCCGAAGATGAACGAAGGTCTTAGGGGTTTGAAACGACATGAGGGTGAGTAATTAATGACAGAATTTTGATTTTTGGGTGAACTAACCCTTTAATTTCTCCCATCATTAGCCGTGAGTCATTGAATCTTTCACGCAAACTATTTGTTCAAACACACTGATTCTTTCGATCGATTTGTTCAAAAACACTGATTCCTTTAGGTACACAACTATACAGACGCACTAGCTCTGCTGCTTATTTGGAAATAGTTTGTTGGTGGAGCAAAAATAGATGAAGTAACTGCAATAAAGTGTCCAAAACAAGTAACTCAATATTCGCTTCTTGCCTTTTTTACTGTAGTGTAAGCAATAATGAACGTGATTCAATTCCTCTGTTTGGCTCACAGGAGCAGTATGACCGTCTGCTGGTGTTGTATCCCAACTATCTCATAATTCTGTCAGAAGAGAGTGATGGCCTCTTTTACAAGGTATCTCAAAATAATTTCATTTGCACAAATGAATACAGCAGCAACATTACGTAATCCAGTGAGACAAATAATCTTGAATGCATTTGCAATTGCAGGGCAAACTTCCTCTCAACATGATCACAGTTACAACTCCCTGCCAGGACATCAAGCCCAACACATTTATGATTGAGGGTGAGTTAACAAGTCAAACTTCAGTTGCCGGATATTATCGTTCTTGGCAAAGATCTGATATGTGCCATAAAGATGAGTGTAAACTCTTACTGTTTTCCTATCATGCTGTGCCCGGTTTCTGCACAGATTCATGAATCTATATAACTCTTGTGGGTTTTGTTGTTAGGGAAGTTGATAAACCCCATCATTGTGTCCTGTCTGGACAAAAGCGAGTTCAATGACTGGATCCTGTATTTCAAAAGCGCTGACGTCCCCATCCTCAGCCCTCCTCCCCCTGTCTATGACATCATTTACACTCCAACACAGAAACAGGTGAGCGATCACTTCCATCTTGGACATGGTGTTGAATATCTTAGATATAGCACGTAAATGCTGTGCTGAGATATTCACTTTCTCTTCTGTTATTCTCAGGCTCCGGAGTTTGACAGGTGGAGCGTCAGCAGCCATGGAGCTACCGAACCACTAAGGCAGTCCAGGGACAAACGCAGATCCCATGAGCTCCAGCTGCCCAGTGCTGATGACAACGCTGTTTCCCCTGGATATGCTGAGCCTCTCTGTGTAAGTGTCTATCCCAACAGCCCAAACCCATTAACGTTAAGCTAGTTTTCCTATGTGAATTGTTCCTACAGTTTTAGTTTGATTACGTGTCTAGTGTGAAATTGGGTTAGGCAGTGGTTATCCACAGATTTAAAATATGGGGCATTATTCATAAGAATGACTTGCATGTTTATTTTGGAGGAGTAGCACGTGTGGTTGTGATCAAGATCAGTAGAATTTCAGTTGGGCTGTTAATAATTCACGTGTGTGCAATCAATTTCCGTTGTGTTACCACCTACAAGACGCTTGTGAATTAGTACTAAACACTATTTACCTAGTATCTTCCAAAAGTATCCATATTACATTCTTTATTCCAGTTATTCCAATTTTCAACTTTTAAAATGTTCACATCTGAGATTTAAACATACACGACCCAAATTACTTAATAGAAGCATGTGATGATGTTCAACCACAATATGACAAGATGCTACGACATTTTATCACCTCTAAGTCAACATGAACTGCCATTCACAGCACATTTTATGTCCGTAAAGTAAAATATTTCTGATTGAAACAGGAAAAAAATGTAGGACTAGGCGTTTTTCCACTAGATTTTATCCATTGAATTTGATTGGAAAGTGGAAAATTGTCAAACAGAATACAAAGTTTGTTGTAATCTGGTAGAAGAATGTGAATACAGTCCAGTAAATCAGTTTTGTGTTGTGTGTGTTGGTACAGTTCATTTCCAGCAGGCCTAACTCCTCAGACACGCAGTACTCGGCTCACTTGGGCAGCAGGAGCAGCAGCTTCTCCTCTCGTGTCCGACCGGCCCCTGACCACCGCCCTGTTTCACTCCACTACTCCTCCCCTCCACAATCATCGTATCTCGCTTCAGAGGGGCCCATGTCACTGGTTTACAACACGCCGTACAGTTCGGTGTACTGCAACGGCCCTGTTCAACGCATCGAGAAGGCCCCGCTAGTCAAGGTAGTAGAGCATGACTATAATCTGATGCCCTACTTAGTACTGTTTTTTTTTCACTTTGAAGACTTTGAAGAAATTTGGCTTTTGGGGGAAATGGAATGCATAAAAACATGCATAACTTATATATTTTCTATCTGCCTTTATTCAGTCAAACAGCTGGAGCACGCCACAGACAAATGTCAAACACCAGCTCTTAGTTCCTCACCGCCACTCAGACTTGATCGGTCACCGCAAACCTCTCTCGCCCCTTTATGACGACCCCAGCACCCCCAGTATGTACCCTCTTGAGGAGAGCTCTGCACATGCGTCGGTAAGTGGGTCAGGATATTAGATCCGCTCTCTCACTTGACACCGCTGCCTTCGGTGACCAAACACCCCGAAAGCAGGGGCACTGATTTAATGAGCTAAAGCCATGGAAAGTCCCCATAGCATTCATTACTAATTAATCCATCCAGATGGCGAACAAGGCAAAGTGTTTTCCCTCCTAACCTGCACATTTGAGACAATATTTCTACATAGAATGCAGGTTTTAACTTGTTGGGTTTTCAAACCTGGATTACATAACAGGTTTAGGTTTAAACCCTTTAATCAGCTGAGTACGTTAGGTTTAGTTCACTATGCTATCTTTTAAATCACCCTTATGAGTCAGGGCAAATCTCATGAAGTGCATATTTTTCTGCTACACAGCACTCTTCTCGGGGCTCCATGGAGCAGTCGTATCCTCCTCTCCTTCCTCCCTCTTTCCGGCTGTGCACTCCCCCTCTTGGGCGGAAAAACAGACATGGCCAGGCCCTGGAGCCCGAGGTGGTCAGCAGTCAGTGGTCTGATGATCTACGTGTCCAGGCCGTTTCCAAACTGAAGTTACTGCCCACCCCAAACCGACAGCCAGAACACAACCACATCTCTCAGGTAATGGGATGGTGGTAGATTTCCTTTCAAGACTTTTTTTCTTTTTGCTTCATTATCATATCAGGATAGTTGTATCACCCAGACATTTGTGACTTTATGCCCCTCCCCCCCAAAAAATATCTAAATGAATTTTTGTTAAGTCACTGTATGCATGAGATGCACACTACTGTTCTGTTTGTGGTTGGTAAGATTTTTTTTAAATTTTTTGAAAGGAGTCTCTTATGCTCACCTAGGCTGCATTTATTTGATCATATATACAGTAAAAACAGTAAAACTGTGAAATATTACAATTTAAAATAACTATTTTCTATTTTAATATTTCAAATAGTAATTTATTCCTGTGTTGGCAAAGCTGAATTTTCAGCATCATTACTCCAGTCTTCAGTGTCACATGATCCTTCAGAAATCATTCTATTATGATGATTTAGTACTCAAGAAACATTTCTTATTATTATCAGTATTGAAAACAACTTACAACTTTTGTAAAAAACCATGATACTTTTTCAGAATTCTTTGATGAATATAAAATTCAAAAGAGCATTATTTGAAATAGAAAACTTTTGTAACATTATAAACGTCTTTACTGTCTCTTTTGATCAATTTAATGCATCCTTGCTGAATAAAAGTGAAAGTGAAAAGTGAAACACACACACACACTGTGAACACACGCCCGGAGCAGTATTCATTTCTTTAAAAAACATCTTACTGGCCTCAAAAGTTTGAAAGGTAAAGAAATGTTTATTTTAGGAATAGGACAAAAAGTTGGATAGAAATATTGCTCTATATTTGTGTAGCTTCAAAACAGTATAAAATAAATGAACTCCTGTTCTCCTGTCTTTTACAGAGAGGTTTCTCAGGTCACATTGTCATGGAGGCGCAGCAGATATCTTACGGTTACTCGCCAGGTGAGAATTTTTGACATGCTAAAGTCAGGAGGCAGTTCACAATGGCACGACGATATGCATGTTTCACGGATGTAGAAAGAGAAATAGATATGCAAGATATATACAGCAAGTAGCACGACCAGTTTTGTGGCCACAAGTTTTGTTTAGAGTGTGAAATGTTGACCTAGATCATGAGTACGTTTTATAGACTAGTCGAAAATAAAATGGTTTAATTGAATAGCTTAATCGTCTAATTAGGCCACACGTATACACACTCACTTGTCAGGTTTAAACACAACACCATAGGGAGGAAATAATCCATGGTGACATGTGCATAGACCAGACTCTCACGGCACAGCTAATAGGATGGTTTTAGAATGACCTTCTCCAGCGCACACACACACACACACACACACACACACACACACACAGGGTTTGATGGGGTGTGTGGTTGCCCAGGCAGGACATGGCAGTGGAAACAAGAGTGCAGATGAAGGGGCATGTGTGTGTATGTTTGTGTGTGTAATATGGCTCAGGCCCAGGGTATTTTAAATGACAGCACTGCAGGTGGCACATGAAGGAAAGACCAGCGAAAGGACAGAATTACCACAGAGGGTGATTTAAAGCTCACAAGTGGGAGATCCTGTAAGACATTCAGAGCCTCTCTGTGAAAAAGAACACAACAAACGATATGTTAGATCTTAAATTACGGCATGAAATATTTAGATGGCTCAGTTTACTAACAACTTAACCTTAGTGAGTGGATTTTGACTTAAATTATACATTTTTCCATATTGAATCCCAGTATCGGAAGACAGTTTAAGTTGGTCAAAATTTAGTAGAAAAACCATTCAACTAAATATTTCAAGTATTTGAAGACATTAATCATTGTCTTTTGCTTCTCACAGATGACTCTTACCTTCAGCCAGTGGATCCAGATGACCAGGAAATGGACTATGATAACATATGGGAGTTTGACCCGGATAATAGGATGATTCAACCCCTGCCTGGAACTTCACCACACCGGACACTGGCTTACTTTGGAGCTCAAGGCCTGGGCGCTATGACAACACAGCAGAGATGGTCATAAAAGAGAACAATGGGCTTATGCCCGTCCGGACTTGCACACATAGCAGACTAATCAAAGCCACACATGCACACTGGGCATGTTTTCACCAAGGGCTGGCATGCCCGAGTATCTGGATATTCACAGTTTGTTTATTCTGTGGCTTTATGACATATTTTGCACATGTAATATTCTTTAATTTTGTGGTGATTATTTCAGACTGCTGTATATTTTCGGTACGAATAAGTGTATTAGTCATTGACGCATTTATGTATATTTTGGAGTTTTTGAATTTAGTTTAGCTTGTGAGTCTTACAAACTGTTGGAAATTGTGATTATATGCATATTTTTTATGATATACCAAATGTAAATATGTTATTTTTTATTATTATTATTTTTATTTTATTTATACTTCTTTCATTAAGGCCTTCTACTCTTTGTTGGAAAAATCTATTTGTCCTGTGGAGGTCAAAGCTATTCATTAGAAAAGAAATAAATCTGTACTGTTTTTGCATTGTTTGTGACAAATAAACAGTGATAAAACAGTTGTAACACCGCTTCAGCTGTCCACTTTACATATGTACGTGTTGTTAATTTTTAAAATTTCTGAGTGATTTGAAATGTATTTTTAAAAATAAAACAAGTTCTCGGAACAGCTTTAATCTCTATTCTGAACAATGTGGATTTACTTTTAAATGGTAACATATTTACATACAAGTTTAGCATGTGCAGGATGAGTTATTATAGGAAATAAATAGAAGCATTTGATTTTTAGTTGTTATGCCACAAAATGTAAAATATTAAAAGAGGGGTAAGATGGCCCCTACTGGAGTGACAAGCCTCCCTGGATAAATATAATATATATATATAATATATTTATTATATTTCTGATATAATTCTTATTAATATTTATATATCTTTTTAAAGTGTCATTAATGTAAAACACTATATCAGCTATTCTAGTAAAAATTTTATTTCGACAATTTAGTTTCATCTGAAAGGTAAAATTATTCTATGACATATACAGGCAGATTAATATTTACATATTTAATTGTCTATATTTTAATTGATGACATGTTAATAGCAACACTATGAATGCAAATTTAATGATTTCACTCAGTGAACCTAAAAGTTTTAATGAAAGTGAAGATGTCTGAAATGTACAGTTAATTCATGGAAATATTAAATAACTCCATTAATTGCAATAAGTAATAAACACTAGTAGTAACTACATGCCACTCGGGGCCTTCTGTATTAATTCTCGGGGGCCCACCAAGGGTCTAACGTTTTACTGCAAAATAATAAATATAACGTTTACCCCACAAATCTAACAGATGTTGATATTCACACAAAATTAAAAATAGCGTAGCCATTCATTAGTGCTGAGATGATATTTTTTTTGCCATTTATGGTCAAGAGAAAAAGGTGGGTCATCTTACCCTAAATTTAATTTAGTACATCTGAACGGTGACAAATGCTGTAAAAACGTTGTGAAAGTGAACCTTCAACAGTGTGTTGGAAATGATGCATTTGAATTATGAACGTCAGAGAGGTCTCTGTCCGCGCGGAATTTATTGTGACCTTTACAGCTGTCTTCTGTTGCCATCTGCTGGTAACATTTAGAAGTACCCGTTGCATGTCTCAATGGGGTAATAAGCAAATACTTTTTTCTTAACTTTCTCCAGAACTGTTAGAACAAATCTTTTTTGTTCTATTTCCATAAAAACGGCAATGTTCGTTCCCCTCAATTATAACAAATGTTAAATTTTACAATTTGTAAAAAATGTTTAGGTTTCTTACCGTAGACTGGCACAATCATAATACAATTGGCTGTTTAGTCCCCTCTAGTGGGCAACATAAGAATTACTATTGACATACAGGTGTACTGACAAAAAAACAAAAAACACCCGTACCCTCATTTAAATCAAATTAAATCAGATTTATTTATCCTACATAATATTTAAAACTGGGAGCACCATATGACTGAAATTTGAAGAAATCAAACACTGTTTTCAGATCGGAAGTGGCATCATCACATGGGTATCTGATTTTATACTTGGTCTATAAATACACCAAAATAATTTGGCCCAGCAAAAATATCCCAATAGTATCACAATAAACCGCCTATACGTTTGAACCTCCCCACAGGTACACTTATTTAGACACACACGTCTATCTTCATCATAACACCTCCATAATCATCTCATCATCTCATGCTCTCATCACAACGCACAACAGCATTCACTGTGAACAGTGAATCCACAATATCTCAGAATCAGATAAAGAGCTTTGGTCATTTCATAAACAAACTACATTGCTTTTTTAAATCTGGATATGCAGATTATTGAAATGCCACTGGCCTGAAGTCACAGTTTTTTTTTCTCAGATATTTAGCTACATCTATTGTATATCAACTGAGTTCATCCGCAAGAAACACACATCAGAGTGTTAATCATAATAATATGTACTGAGAAGGATGGAAAAGTCATGCATGCACATGTTTGACATTCGCCACCACCCTTTTGGATTACATGGAAACATGGCAATGTGACTGAAATCAGATCTGGGGGCTGTCGCGGTGCTATGGAGTTATGCTGCCTATCTGACGCAAAGGAGTTTTTCCAAAGACCTCCTCCCTCTTGTGTCTGCGCAGATATCGTATGGCAGAGAGTGCACTGACGTTTGCGAGAAGAGCTGAACAATAAAACGAAACAACAGAAATATGTCATTATGGATTACTATCAATTGTATTCCTAAATCAAACTCAAAATTTATCAAAATTTTGCTCAATTTGATGTGACGTAGAGCTTTTATCAGGGAAAAGGCTTACCTAGTTCTTCTGTAAAAATTTTAACATTCTAAATAAATAGTGTCAAAACACAACTCAATGACTTAATTAATGACTCACTTTATTAACCCTAATAAAGTATATTTAGGAAAATAAAGATATATATACCAGCTTTCCAGGTGTCTGCTCCTGAACCAGTTGATTTCAACACCCACGAGGCAAAAGCAATACAAATCAAGCACATGTCTGCCTGTTTAAGAGGCAAGAATGGAGCATCCAATCCTAGAAAAGAAGCGCCAAAATCAGAACAGTGCAGTATCATTTAATAGTAAAAACAAACAAACAAACAAACAAAAAAAAACAACTAAATAAATGTACACAATAACATATATATATATATATATATATATATATATAAAAATGGTTTCCTGAACTCATTATGAATAAAACTAACTTACTCTGAGATATACACTACTATTTAAAAGTTTCAAAAATCAGAAATAGAGCAAAAACAGTAATATTCTGAAATATTATTAACATTTAAAACAGCTGGTTTTATTTGAATTTATTTTTATGTAATTTATAAAGTAAAAAAAAACATCCTTTATTTGAAACAGAATTTCTTTGTAACAATGTAAGAGTTTTTACTGACATTTTATCAATTTAATGTATCCTAGCCGAGTATTAATTCTTATATATAAATACAAGTATTAACAAAAACGTTTGTTAAATTATAATATACAACTCAATAAAACTTCACTCAAAAAATATATACATGTAATAATATATTAATAGGCAGGTAGTGAATTGACACTGAATGATAAACTATGGCTGAATCCCAAATGACAATAAGTGATAGATGATGAAGTGATAATGATAAGTGCCCTGATGTTCCCGGAGTTTTCTCTATTTTTACTTGCACATCAAAGTGAAAACATGTTCTTAAAATCTGCCACATGGCAGATCTGAGAAGCTGCCCAGCAGGACTGAAGACTGAGTTGCACGTACTACCATTCCATCAGCACGAGCATGGCTCTGCATGTGACTAGATACTCTTAGTCAGCAGCTATTGACAGAAAAGAGGTGAGAGTTGACTAACATATGATAATTTTGAGATACCGATGTATTTTCTTATTTTAGGTTTAGGTTTAAAGGGAACAAATAAACAACTTTAAGAAAGTGTTAGTGTGCAATTTGCAGTTCCAGTGTGTGTATGTGTAGAATACTGCATGGTAGAAGTTCTTACTTGGATCAGCAACAACTGTCTGCATCTCCATACACTTCTTTTGTTGTTCAGTCAGCTGCTGGAAGATGCGGTTCTCCAGGTTGAGAAGCAAAGAATCTGGGAAAGGGCTCCCATCAGGGCTCATATCATTAATAGGTTGAATGATTCCTTTGGGAAATGTCTTCACAGGGACAAGCTCCCCAGAAAATGTCTCCTCTTCAGGGACGGTAAAACCTGTGCGTCGAACTTTTCTAAGTGAAAGAGGGTTTGTCCAGAGGAATTCGCTCTCATCTTCAGAAAAGAAGTGCTCGTACATGTCAACAGGATCATGGTTGGGAGGCTTATAGTCATACCGTGTCACTACATTGATCGCTGCATTGTCATTCTCATCATCTTCATCTGAATTCCCAGGGGAATCGGGAAAGAAATAGTCATATGCCTCTGGGAACTGAAGGATTCTGTTAGCTGAGCGGGACTCTTCCACAATTGGACAAACAAAACTTCCAGCATCAAACTCGGAGAAGAAATGGTCATACGTCTCAGGCAAAGAGGTGCCTGTTTCATCAAGGTATGAGGCAGCTATGTTGTCTGCACGAGACACACATTTTTCAGGTTCATCCTCACCAAAGAAATACTGGATTATTTCATAAAATGTTATACCACTGCTCTCTATTTCTTCTTCGTCATCAGAAAAGATCTTTGAACCTGAAGTGTTCACATGGTAGAAAGGATCCATTAAATCATCTTCCACCTCTGAATGGATTGAATGCATTGAGGCATTGCTCAGGATTTGTCTGATTGGACGAGTGTCTAGAGCTTGCGGGTTCTGCACAGACATGTTCTTACACATTCTTCTGAAGCACTGTTGAGCATTAGCCGTGTAGAGATGTTCAGGAAGAGTGGTTTCAGAACTTATGTGCACCATTGCGTCAACCACAACCACTGGATCTGGATCATTCTCCCACATCACCCCACAAGAGCTAGGAAACTCACTTGACTCATCCTCTTGCTTGGAAGGAAATGGGGTTTGAAGCTGAGCGAGGTCTTCATCCAGATCAGATATGTAAGACGTGTCTCCAGTTAAGCGGTCCGGCTTAGAGTCATCAGGTTGTGTAAAGTAGCCTGAATCTGCAGCATCTGTAGTGTCTGCTATGCTACCATCCTCTGCCTGGGTCAAAATGCTGGGGTGCTGGGAGTTACTGATCAACTGCAGATGCAATATGTCATTGATGGTTAGTTTCTCCATTTCATTCCAAAAGGAGGAGATAGCAAACACAGGACATGGAAGTTGATGTGAAGCATCAAGAGAAGCACTCTCAAGGTCTTTGGTTCCACTTTTCAACTCACCGGAAGAAGGGTTACTTTCAGCAAACATATTTTGAGGTAACTCTGCAACATCTTGAGTATGATCTTCACTGAGCATTTCTTTTGTAGGACCATGTATGTGTTCACTAGATTTGATGAACTTGCCACAAAATAGCTGTTCACTATTATTCCTGGCTGAAACAGCAACTTCATTATCATTAATGTCTCTCTTGTCATCTGATTCATCCGAATTCCTTGGTTTTATGGGCGAGGCATTCACAATTAATATCTCACTAGTCTTATTTCTGCTTTGCATATGACAGTCATCTGTTCCATGATCAATATTATCAGACATATGACTCGCAGTCTTTGCATCTGTCTTGTTTACAGGTATATTTGTGTTTATTTCAATGGTTTGAGAGCCCGAATGGCTTTGAAATTCTGAAATGTTCTCATGAATACATGCTTTCTGTTTTTGAGAAACTTCCTGTGAACAAGTAAAGGATTCTGGACCATTTCCATCTGAACCAGATTCTACTCTATCAACGTTGTCAGTTAAAAACAAGCTGCTTTCTTTGGTGGCTGAAATCTCTAATATATTACTACTGCTTGGAATTGTTTGTTCATTTTTTAATAGAGAACAGCCAGTCTCATTTCCCATACAGGATAAATCTTTGCCCTCCGTCAATTTAAAAGAGACTGTAATGGAAGGAGTCTCTGTTGAATCAACAGCACTGGAAATGCTAGGAGATAATAAGGATTTCCTCTGGCATCCTGCATCAGAATTATCACTTAGAGGTGCTGATAAGGTCTCTCTAATACCGGTCCTGCTCTCTCTTAATTGTACGGCAGGATCAAGCTGAAGGGATTCGGTTATATTTAATCCACTTTCTTTTACATTCAGAACTTTATCTATCTGGGAAAATAATGACAGCTCACAAATCTTTGCTTTCAATTGTCCATTGTTTACAAGGGACGTATCATGCATGCTTTTAGTATTAAAGTTTATGTGTCCAACTTCCGACTTTGGAAGTGTGGTGCCTAAATCACTGGCAAAAGATACTGGCAAGCTTTTTGAAAACATAAAATCAGCTGAAGCCTCCAAATCAGATGTGTTGTTAAGCTGTAAATGATCAGTATTATGCACAATTGAAGGTGTTTTAATTCTCTGAAGTGATAGGTGCTCGGTCTTCCAGACATTTGCAGGAAGGTTGTTGATCTCTTCCCTGTAAATAAATCTCTCTTCCTCTGATTCACTTTGATGGTAGTGGATCTGAGCCTCATGTCCTTGCTCTACTGGTTCGATACTCAATCTCTTCTTCTTCCTCCTCTTTCTCCTGAGATTGGAAGGTGACACTGGGATCTGACCGACTGGTGAATCTTTCGAGTCAGAACTACTTATAGCATCCAGTTGAGCAATGTTTTGTCTTGCTGGATATGGGTCAGTCATGTCTTTTCTATTAACCACTACCATTTTCTCTTTTTCAGGTGGCTTTGTTTCAGGAGTCAGCTCTAGATCTTTGCTGAGACTGCTAAATCTTCCCTGTTCCCCTTGTTTCATTCTTACTGTAATTAGGGGTGTTGTCAATAGCTTCCCTCCAATGACTAGCTCTGTGTCAGACTTTGATGCATCTTCATGCACATTAGCGGATGTGATCTCTAAAGCTTTTTCTGAGGCTATATCGCCCCAGGTATTAGCCACAGCCTTTTTAGTGATTTCTCCTCTAAGACTGGCCTCATTTCGGCCAGATGGACCAAGGTCTACAGACAGAATATCCTGCTTATCAATCAAACCCTTCAGATGTCCTGTCTTCTCACTTTCACAAATGACAACGTGGCTTTGTTCCAAGGGCTGTTGATTTTCTGTGACACTTTTTAACTGCTCAAAGAATAGATTGACAGTCTGAAGGTGCAAGTCTTCCTCACTGCCAGAGAGAACCTGCTCTGGACTACGTATTCCGTACTTGCTGAGGTAATTACAGACAGGTGAACCCTCACAGTCTGGCGGGCCATCAATCTGAAGGTCTGGATCAGGGTCTGTGGATGCTGTGCCCACGGCCGGGGTCCTGATTAGAAAGAGGCAGCCCGTCTCATCAATGTCACTCATACCAGAGTCCTCTCGGCTGGCAAGCACTGGAGAGAGCAGGTCACAGTCCTCACACTCCTGAAAAAAACAGTCCCAGTCTTAGTCGGAGATGTGCACACTGTATTCAAAGTCGTCCATCGTGAATGGATGATACACGGGTGACTCTGAATCTACAAATGAAACATGAATTAATCAATGAATGAAATGAATAAATAGTCTGGCAAAACAACTACCCAAAAATAGGGAGAAATGCAGAAATGTGGATGTTTTTATTGCCATCTTGAGAATGGCACAACCATTATCAACTGACAGCTAATTAATCTAAACATATATGCTATTCATCTGATAAACTAGGACTATACATGTTGCAACCACAAATCATGATACATAAAACATTTTTTAAGAAACAAGGTGCACTAAAGCTCAAAAACATTGAACAAACTACAATTATTTTAAGCTTTAAATATACATTTTGTTAAAAAAAAAAACTAGTAAAGTTATCTTTAAATGAATCTAATATTAAACTCATAGCAGAAATCTGTACAGTACCTGTTCAATGATGTGAAAGTGCAAAAGTCCCAGGGCAGTTAGCCTGTCAAACCACTTCAATAGACTGAGGCATAGTGAATGCCCTTTGAAGTGTGTCCTTCTGAGTAAGAGTGGCACACCACAGATTTGTTATAAATAGAACGCCGTTACAAATCACGTAATACACGCACCACCAGCCCCCCAAACAAATGTGTACACACAGTGAACACCATAGCTTCTTGATGGCAAGGCTGTTACAAAATCTGCTAGAGTATATAATATATTATGGTTTCCAGCACTGTAGAAGGCACAGCAGACTCTTCCAGAAGAATGACTGGCCATGAAAAACCATGCTTCAGTTGCAAATATAAATTACATATTGACAAAAAGTTAATGAGAGGTGTGGCAGCTTTGGGTTGAATGAGTGTCTTATTAGTGTCTATATTGTAAAAAATTATATGATTTGTAAAAAAAAAATATATATTTTTTTATAACAAAAAAAATATTCACATACAGAAAAAAGTAAAGATTGTATTACTTTTATTCAGCAACATCGCAATAAGAGTGATTTCTGAAGGATCGTGTGACACTGAAGACTGGAGTAATGTATGCTAAAATTCAACTTTGTCATTACTGGAAAAATGACATTTTAAAATATACTGAAATAGAAAACAATTATTTTAAATTGTATTTCCCCCCCAAAATATTAATACTGTTAATATTAAAAACATTAATAGTGTTTTTACTGTATTTTCTTTTTACTTTCTATTTAAATTTATTTTCCTTCGGTTTACAGAACATCACCCAAATTCAGCTTTGAACCCCTTACAGCAAAAAAGAAAAGAAAAGAAAAGAAAAGAAAAGAAAAAAACACATATTCTGAACACCATCATGACATTCATCACAATAAGAACATTTGCAACCAAACACCAAGAGTAGAATACATTGACAAACAGCATTATAGCTTTTACTGTATTTTTTATAAAATAAATGCAGCTTTAGAAAGCATAAGAGACTCCTTTCAAAATAAATAATACACACACATATAGCTATAACAGTTGTAAAAGTCCTTGAAAGTCTTTCCTTTCAATTTCCAATCTCAGGTTTTAATTCTATTGTACAATTTTTTTGAGTGTATTGTCTGCAGTCAACAAGATTCCATCAGCTGACACAGTGGAGGACTCTCAAACTAGAGGTCATTTGATTGTGTCTGTTGCCAGCTTTCTGCTGTGATATCATGCGTATATATGTAGGGTCTTCTTTCCCACTGCTTAGAAACAAGTCATGGCGAATGCCACCCAAGGTATTAATGTCACAGTCAGAACACATTCACATTTTGGTCATTTGACACAGCCGTGATGGTCTGACACGCCTCTTCAGCACAGTGCTTAAAACACATGCTGCATATTATACAAGGACGTCTGTAAAGACAAAGACGCTAGGAAACCAGAATCATGAATTGCAATTTTACAAAGCTAAACTGCAGATTTCCTGAACTGTAGCTCAAACAGTAGAGCATGGTGGTAGCCAAGGTCATGGGTTAGATTCCCAAAGAAAGCAAAGACTGATAATATGTAAATGTACACTTTGAATGCAATGTAAGTTGCTGTTTTTGAAAGATTAATTTTTGGCATTTTTGCCTTTATTTTATAGGACAGTATTTAGACAGGAAGCAAAGTGGGAGAGAGAAAGGCGGGACAGGATTGGGAAAGGTCCACGAGCCAGGACTCAAACTCGGTACACCCGAAGCGCAACAGCACTATATGTCGCTGCCCACGAGGCTATTTGGCACCGACTGCATAATTGTAATTTGACAACAAATTCATCAAGAACATCATTTTACAATGATTTCAAACTGAGCAAATAACATGCATATCATTTGTACAAATTGCTCATGTTGGCTCCTGTCCAGCCTAAGGCTGAATGGCAAATGGGATCCGAGGTCATGTTTAGAGACATCAAGATTATAAATGTAGACAGTAGGATTAACTAATCTGGCCAATTTGCAAAGTGCCATTAAGTCATTATGATATTAAGATAACAGATCTCTCTTTATCCCATTATCTACAGATCTAAGCGGTGTCTCGTGCCTTCTGCTCTTCAGAGGAGAAGGACAAACTGTAGCAAGTTTATCACTGTCTTACATGTAATATTTACAAAAAAATTTAATGTAAGAACCAAATACTATGTATCAAATAACAAGTCAGTAGCACTTGGAGTCCCTTTTCTTTCATGGAAGGAATGTTATTTAAGTCTTTCTGAAGTGAGAAGTTTGCTTGATATTCGGACCAACAAAACCTACTTTGGATTCACTCTTTTAATTATTCATGACCTTTATACATTTGATTCTGGCTTCTGTACGTAAACATTCTCCCCACCAGTTAACCAACCACAGACCAGGCACGCTTCCCAGCGAGGTCCTAAACTATCAATTCATCAGAGCTTTAATGAGACAGAAGGGGAAAGGCCTTGTCTAGTGAGTTTACTGCACCTGGGGCGGTGAGCTGTCTGAACGTGGGTGGGATTCTGTTTTCATCAAGAGGATTAAGCCCAATAAATCTGTTTCTGGGATTAAGATTGGGATCTGTTTGGACTACTTAGCAGTGGCTAATACAGTGGTGTTTCTTCTCTAATTGTACTGCTGTTTCAGCTGCAACTATTCATCACCTGACTTTTCTCAATCCCTTGTAGACGCCCAGGTCAAGTGACAGTTTTTCAACAAAGCATGGCATGGCATGGCATCTCCTTTTCAATTTTGCATGTAACAAAAGACACTGTTACAGTATTTCTTTGAGAAAAAGATCATTAAATTCATGCTTGTCTGCTCTGGAAGCTTGTTAAGTTTTAAAGAATGGTGCCACTAAATGCTAAAATGTTTTTTGAGTTTAAATGAAATAGCTGGGCATCATGGTCTGTATCTCCAATAGTTGGAAAACTACATATCCTCATCTGAGGTTTGAACACAGGACTCCATGTCATAGCCTTTTTATTTTTGAGTTGTTCAGTAGTCCCTTTGCAAGGTAAAAATGGCTATTTAAGACACTAAATACTATAAAAATATACGTTTACAGTAGGCTAACCTGGTAAAACTACAAGATATTGGTCCATCTCTGCATATAAGATAACCTCTTAACCTTTTTTACTCCCCTTTGTTCAAGACAATATTCAAAGGCCCTGATATGTGTATGATAAAAGCTGTAAATAAAGATGACAACAATAAACTGACATCATATTTTTGAGTAAAATGAGATGTCAGTTTATTGTTGTCATCTTTATTTTTATTTTTATTTTTTAGCATTTTAATTAACATTATGTTTATATAACTAAATTTAAATTATTTTAAGAATTGGGCACTCTTGTTGAGAGAACTACTGGTTTAAAACCTTTTGTCCCACCTGACAAAAGTGGAAGAATTGTAATCAGGAGATCTTACTAATCATTAAAGTCAATCCATGAACATGGACAGACACCGAAATGTAGTAATTTCACAATAAATTGATATAAATAAAGTCTACTGTGTTTCACAGTCAACACGTGGCTTTTTGGCTAGGTTCAAAACAAGGAAAAGTGCAATTTTAGATAAACAAGGCAACACAATAGATACACTTGTCGAGGTAGAAAAACAAAAGAAAAGGCACAAGAGCCAACAGTTTCTGTCAGTCGTTTTAATTTAAATGTCAGAGTTTTAATTTAAATGTTTGTGATAGCCTACTTTTAACAAGAAAAGTAGACTATATTCTGTGTTTAAATGTGTTGCCACTTGCTTGAGCAACTTAATATACAAATAATACTTTGTTTATATTTATTGAGTTTAAACAAATGTCTACGAAAGATTACTGTACTGTGATAATGGATCACAATGCTGAAAAAGCATTTTCAGTAACAACGTTTGGATTTGAATTCAAAATAATGGATAAATGTTGTGTTTGTGGTAGCCTAAACAGCCGCGCATCAGTAGCTGACTGCAAACGCGTCCCGTGTGAAAGCAAAATGCGACCGTGCTTCTGCACCGCATACGTGACGCATATAGACTGCATACGCACTGGCACTGCAGACAGAGTATGTGTGAAAAAGGCATAAATTGTGGTGGCGTTCAACTCGTTCATACGATCAATCCGACATGACTTGAACGCATCATAAGCAGCCACATCAAAGAATATAGAAGCCCACATGACGCAAATATGGCAGCCTCTGGGTTGTGTACTTCCAGGAGATTAGCTGAGCAATTAGGCTACCAATAACTTCCGCCATGTATTATATCCTGCAGGTAGATCTTTATTTTGCAGTTCCAAGTAAAGTAACCAAAAACCATTAACTGGAAATTTTATGAACAAACAATAATTTGAGTCATACTGCATAGTAGGCTAGTTGATATCTTCAAATCAGTTGCGTAGGTAAAACTTAACTTACACAACCAACGAGTGCATTCTTCTGTAGAAATACAAGTTCCTTCAGGTGGGCCTACTCGATCACCCTCAGTTAGTTGACCTAAAAACGTTTGCGTACATGTCGACAGATTCTGTCAACATTGGTTACTGTATTGTGAGAATGCGCCCCACTTTGTCCTGTCGTTATCTGTACCTGTGAGCCGGAGGCCGAGGCACTAAGAAGCATTTTCTGTAGACAATGAGGGAATTTGACGGGTCGGCGCGCGGAGCTCATCCCTGCACACGGGAGCAGATGACAACAAATGCGCATTGTCTCGTGAAATCACCTGAGCGATAGCTGGGACCTCTGAGTCTGAATACTGCATCAACCGTGCTTTACTCAATCCCATTATTTACAAGAGGTTGGATGTCATTTAAGGAGGATAGGAACTGCTCATTTCGGATTCAGGGTTTCAGGGAGGCTATAGTCTTACTTGTTGATTGACTGGATTTGCAACACGAGTGTCAGGTTCTGACTAAACGCACACACATAGGCTACTCAGCTTGAAATTAAATAATAATAAAAGAAACAAAATCAATCAATTACTATTATTTATGTAAATAATGGGTGGCTAATTATTATTATTATTATTATTTAAAAGATGGGGCCTACTACCAGAAACAGTCCTAAAGCGAATACTTCATAACCTATTGCATTTTTTTAAAATAGCAAA